GCATGTGAGTGTGCATATGAGTGTGTGGTGCGCGCGTGTGTGTGTGCGTTCGTGTGCGTGCGTTCGCGCGTTCGTGTGTGTGCGTGCGTGTGCGTCCGTACGTGCGTGTGTGTGTGTATGTGTGCGCATGCGTGTCAGTGTGTTTGGGCGTGTGAGCTTATGGAAGCACGGGCGAACGAGCAGCCGTGTGTATGCGTATATCTGCATATAAGACTGACACACTCCACCTCGTCCGCACACGCACACGAGGCGCCCCAAACCCCCCAGCCTCAGCCCTCCGTCCTCCACTCCGCACTCCCCTGCTAATGGCTCCACCTCCTTCCCGCCGACTTGTTGGACACCTTTAAACGGCATGAATATTGGAGCGCCGCGTCTCCCTCTGACCAGGCTGGCCTTTTGCCGGCATTTCTGTGTCGTGTTGTTTGTTTTTTGCGCTTCCCTTCCTGTTTCTTTGTGTCGCGTATGAGAGAGAGAGTGGAAAAGACTGATAAAAGAGAGAAATAAAAAAAAAGAAAGTATATCAAGAAAAAGAAAAAAAGGCAGATGGCAAGGAAGGGAAAAATGTCTATTGATGACTGCTTTCAGTGTTTTTTCTTCTATTCTTTCTTTTTCTCTCTCTCTTCTCTCTTTTTTTTTTCATTACCTCGTGCGTGAAGTCCTCAACGCATCACAAATAAAATGCCCTCTAAGTTCCAAAAGACATTGATTAAAAACACCAGAGAAAATTGTCGTATACAAAAATCAACATGGCTAGGTCATTTTTTCCGAACTACAAATACATTTGTTTTATTTTAATTTTCGTCTGATTAATTTTTTGTGTGTTGGTTATAATAATCGCTTGTAATCAGTACTTACGAGGATAATGTAAATAGCAATGGTAATGATAATGATGATGACGATGATAACAATAACAATGATGACAATAATGATAATGATAATAATAACAATGATAATGATAATGATAACAATAATAATAACAGTAATAAAAAAGATAATGGTAATTATATTAGTAATGACAATAATAATAAGAAGAACAATGATAAGGATAATAAAAGGAAAGATAACGATAATATTGCTAATCATAATGATTATAACAATACTGATCATGATGATAATAATAGTAACGATAATAATAATAATAATAATTCTAATAGTAATGATAATAATAATTCTAATAGTAAATGATAAAAATAATTGATAATAATAATAACAGATAATAATAACAGTGATCATCTTAATAAGAAAAGTAATAATACTGATGGTAATAATAATATTTGTGATGATGTCATTGATAATATTAATAATCATATAATGTTGATATTGATAATTGGATGATGATAATTGATAATAAAACTAAATAATAATGATAATAATAATGATAATACCGATAATAATGATGATAACGATAATAATAATAATGATAACAACAAGAATGATAATGATGATAACAATAACAATAACAATTATTATCCATTAAGATCATAATGATTATTATTACTATTATCATTATCAATATCAACATTATTACAACAACAATCATCATTATTACTATTATCATAATCATAATGATGATAATAGTAAAATATTACCAGTAACAATAAAAACAAAACCCGAAGCACTCTGGAATAGACTATTAGATCTCCCCGTAATACTGCAAGTTGCAAATAAAAAGTAAAAGGACATGCAATAGGTTCTTTCACTGCTTCGATACCGGTAACGAAGTTTCTGGAAGTGTCGTCTAGGGAGTGGGATGTATGGACAATTCGCACAGTCAAATGGACAATTCGCACAGTCAAATGGACAATTCGCACAGTAAAATGGACAATTCGCCCGGCACAGACTTCAGTCAAATAATGGGACATTCGCACAGTCAAATGGGTCAAATGGACAATTCGCACAGTCAAATGGACAATTCGCACAGTCAAAATGGGGTCAATTCGCACAGTCAAATGGACAATTCGCACAGTCAAAAGGGCAATTCGCACAGTCAAAGGATAATTCGCCACAGTTTTAATGCGCGGTATTTGGGTTACTGGGACATTTTGGGTACATTTCACTTAGGGAAAGTGTGATTTGTTTTATCTTACATAATCATTCTCTCTCTCTCTCTCTCTCTCTCACTCTCTCTCTCTCTCTCTCTCTCTCTCTCTCTCTCTCTCTCTCTCTCTCTCTCTCTCTCTCTCTCTCTCTCTCTCTCTCTCTCTCTCTCTCTCTCTCTCTCTCTCTCTCTCTCTCTCTCTATCTATCTATCTATCTATCGCTCTCTCTCTCGCTCTCTGTTTCGCTCTCTCTCGCTCTCTAACTCTCTCGCTCTCTTGCTCTCTCGCTCTCTCTCGCTCTCTCTCCCTCACTCCGTCTCTCTCCCTTCCTTCGCTCCTCCGTCTCTCTCCCTTCCTTCTCTCCCTCCTTTCTCCTTCTTTCATCTCTCCCTCCGTCTCTCTCTCTCCCTCCCTCCCTCCGTCTCTCTCCCTTCGGTGATGTCAGCGCCCAAACAAGTATTTGGCGCCGAGATCAAGAAAGTTTGGCACAAGGTTCCTCCTGAGAGTCGGTTTGTTAACGTTTTCTATGGTTGGTTGTAAAAGAGTGTCGCGTTTTCTTTTACCTTGTTGAATTCAGGTTACATTTTCTATGAATGTCTATTTTTGTATTTGGAGTCGTTTTTTTTTAATCCATGCCCGTTAATTATTTAGAATTATCTGCTTTTCATGTCCTTCTCACTGATCATTTAACCTAGCGATTCATTTTATCTGTTCGAATCTTAGGATTTACTTCGAAAAGCGTGTGATTCGAAGGCGCTCCTCAATTCCATCTGCAATTTCGTGAAAGCTCGAAGTTGACGCAGTTCTTCTTGTTTTCTTTCTCATTTCCTATCGAAGACTCGCTAATTATATGCAGGAGAAGAGGACCAACTCCTGAATCTAATGCTAATTGACCTCGGAGCCCAAGTTACTGCGTTCGTAGCCCCTTCTGATTAATTACATTTTCTGTCTGCAGTGAGAGAAATGCTCCGTTTTCTCTCTATCATCTTGGCTCTAACTTATCTTTCTATCTCTTTATCCTCCCTCTCCTCTCTTGCTCTGCCTATCTGTCACTTTTGCTCTGCCTATCTATGTTCCTTGTATTTCTCTATCGCCCTTCTCTTCTCTCTCTCTCTCTCTCTCTCTCTCTCTCTCTCTCTCTCTCTCTTCTCTCTCTCTCCTCTCTCTCTCTCTCTCTCTCTCTCTCTCTCTTTCTCTCTCTTTCTCTCTCTCTCTCTCCTCTCTCTCTCTCTCTCTCTCTCTCTCTCTCTCTCTCTCTCTCTCTCTCTCTTCTCTCCTCTCTCTCTCTCTCTCTCTCTCTCTCTCTCTCTCTCTCTCTCTCTCTCTCTCTCTATATATATATATATATATATATATATATATATATATATATATATATATATATATATATATATATATATATATATTCTGTGTGGTGTGTGTGTGTGTGTGTGTATGTATATAATATATATAATATATATATATATATAATATATATATATTATATAATATATAATCATATGATATATGTGCATATATTTGTGTGTGTGCGTGTGTATCTGTCTGTCTGCCAATCTATTTATCAAACCATTTTTCTACCACACTACCAACTCCCCAACCTATTTCTCTCTCCCTTTCTACACATAAATCATCTCTGGATCCATGGTAGTCTACCTTAAATCATCGCCATTATTTCACTAACCAGAGCCTGAATAACGCTGCGCTCGGGGTCAGATGTAGACACCTTTTCAGACTTGGAGGAGGATGGCAGTTGAATGGCCAAAATTATGCAATTTAGCTTGCCTCGCTGTCGAAATCAAGTTAGGATCGGTTTGGCTTAGTTTAAACAAGTTAGTGTTAGGTCAAATCGGTCTTAATGAAGTTCATTAGGGGGCTTGAAGGCGGGAAACAAGTTCGTGAGGCAATGAGGCGTGTATTGTTCGTGTATTATTCACTCCGTATGATTTTGTATGTGAAGAAGAGGCCGAGTGTGTGGTGTGATAAGCTACAGCACTTGATCTTATTTTGGAATATTTTTCTCCTGGAAGAATGAATGTAACTTTGTTGCATATCTTCCTGCTCTTGTCATGTTTTGCTGGCCGGAAAGTAAAGGGAAAATCCTAGCGTACCTGTTGATGCAAGAAGTTATATATATCTAGCGGCGAAACTATGCAAAAAAAAACTAATATACGAAAGTTGAAGTGCTTGCCAACTCACCAGCCAAGTCGGCAGCATTTTGTCTTGCCATTCGCAGATGCTCTCGTCCACCGCCTTGCCCTCAAGAAGGGACATCCCCAGGAAGAATTGCGAGATATTGAAGGGAGCAAACACCAGCTGGTCCACATAGCCCTAGGGAAGAAGATGGCGGGGACTGTCAGTGACTTCCATTTGCTTGTTTGTTTTTTTTTTTTTGTCATCGTGTTTTTTGCTGTTATTTTGTCTTTTGTACTGTTTTGAACTGATTTCCATTGTATTTCCTCTCGCTTGTTTTCAATACCACACATTAGCCTAAGAATAAAGCTTGATGGTAAAAAAAAAAAAGATTTTCCCCACCCATGACGCTCTCCCCAACACACATTAGCCTAAGAATAAAGCTTGATGGTAAAAAAACAAAATTATTTTCACCACCCATGACGCTCTCCCCAAATACCCACCTTGGCAATGGCGTGTCTCAGCGAATTTCCCGGAATGAGGAAAGTCACGGTCTTGATCCACCTGTAGAGGAGCGGGGCGTTGATGCAGGAGCCGTAGAGCCCGTACCTCAGGGCCTCCCACAGGTCGAAGCTGGTTCTGGAGCCGTCGAGGCCCTGCTGCACGAGGTTTCCCGCCGGCCACAGCACCGCGTAGGCCACCATGCCTCGCGTCACGGGGTACCTGAGGCGGAATTTGGCGGGTGAGGTGGGGGAAGGGGGAGGGCGGTGGGGTGGGTGGGTGTGGTGGTGAGTATGTATGGTGGGTGGGTGAGTGGCTATGTGTGCGTGTGTGGATGTGAATTATATACGTGTGTTGTGGGGTGCGTTTGTGGGTCGGTGGGTGGGTGAGTGAGTGAGTTTGTGTGTGGTGGTGTGGATGGGTGAATATATATACGTGTGTGTGGGTGGTATTTATGTGTGTGGTGGTGAGTATGTGTGTGGTTGGGTGGTGAGTATGCGTGTGGTGGGGTGAGTATGTGCGTGGTGGGTGAGTGGCTATATGTGCGTGTGCATGTGTGTGGGTGAGGGTGTGGATGGGCGAGTGGTTTAGGTAAGACAACATTGGATAGAGTAGGAAAACACACATATAAGGGCTTTTCACTGTCTTGTATTTCATGGATGCTTTGAAGAAACCTTTGGCATATTCGGTCGTTTTCCTGTTCTTTCCTGTGTTGTTTTATTAACAGCTAGTTGGGCATGATTCGCAAGTGGGTAAGTGGATATGTGGGTCTGTGTGCGGGTGGGTTGGGCGTCATACTTTCATCCTGCTTTCTCATAGTCTGTCTGTCTGTTCTTTCTGTCTGTCTGTCTGTCTCTGTCTCTCTCTCTTCTCTCTCTCCTCTCTCTCTCTCTCTCTCTCTCTCTCTCTCTCTCTCTCTCTCTCTCTCTCTCTCTCTCTCTCTTCTCTCTCTTCTATCTGTCTCTATCTATCTCTCACTCACTCACTCACTCACACACACACACTCACACGCACACGCACACACACACACACACACACACACACAGCACACACACACACACACACACACACACACACACACACACACACACACACACACACACACACACACACACACACACACACACACACACACACACACACACCACACACACAACACACACACACAACTAAAATATAAGCAAAAGCGGTCACCATTCACGGATGACTTATGATCGGTTCCGCCAACGGATTTTTAGGGATCAGGTTAAGCTACCGCCATGGCTAGCAAAACAGAAGGTCGTTTTTCTTACTTGTCTAGCACTTTCCGAACGCCCTTAGCGACGGTGGAGAGAACAGCAGGCATCTTCGGTCGATTCTTGTTCTTGTTTGTTTGTTTGCTTTTTTGTTTTTTTGTTTTTTTCTGTTTTGTTATTTTTTTCCCTTTTTGTCAAAGTGAAACAGCGGATCAGATGATATTACTAACTTCCGAAACCAAAAAAATAATAGTTTGTTCCAAAGATATTTCCTTGTAGAATATATCCCTTACTTAAATTTAAACTTAATTTAAACGAAATTATGTTAACTTTGGATCTGACAAAGCTTCCTTACACAGCAAAAGGATAGCCGAATAAACTCAAAAATAACAAGAAAACTGCGGTTTGTCAAAAGTTATTTTTTTTATCAATATAATGATAAAATTGAATTCCCTTTACGCAGTTAATTAAACAAGTACCGCTTCCACCGCTGCAAAAGAAAAAAGGAACGACGCAACGACAAATTCAAAAATTCCGTAACGGTTTTTTTTTTAATGGCGACGGTATTTTGAAATCGGATAATCCAGAGAAATTCCGTTAGGTCGTGCCTCACTCTTCTTTTTAAAGCTTGGATGTTATTTCTAGCTCACTCTAAAGCAAGCGAGAGTCGTTCGGAGATTTCTGGAAAGAGAGAAAAATAGCTCTTAGTGGAAACCTGGTATTGTATTTCTCTCAGAACTAGATATAATGATCTCTATATTTTTGCTGTGTTATTTGACAGTTGGCGTGTGTCTGTCTGTCTGCATGTGTATGTGTGTGTGTATGTGTGTGCGTGTGGTGTGTGTGTGTGTGTGTGTGTGTGTGTGTGTGTGTGTGTGTGTGTGTCTGTCTGCATGTGTATGTGTGGTGTGTGTGTGTGTACTGGGATACGTGCGTAGATGTGTTTTATTTTATGGCTATATTTACTACATCAAGAAAAAAGTCAAATACACTTCAGTAAAATAGATTAATTGTAATTAATTGATTCACGATATTAATAATAATGATAATGGAAATAACAGTACCAATAACGATGATGACGATGATGATGATGATGATAAATATAAGGATAATGATAACAATAATGACAACAGTAATGCTAATAATGATAATTACGATAATGACAATAGTAATAATATTGATGATAGCAATAATGATAATAATAACAATAACAATAATAACATGTACAAAAAAGCTAACCAAATCTTATTTACATCATTATATAACAACAACTCTCACTTACACAATATGGTTACACAAAAATGGAGGGAAACGTCTGCCAAGAGTGACATAAGCACAACCTGCCTAAAGAAAGTTCTCGCCATCACGTGACAATTTAACCTGATCTTGGTGGCGGCAAAATATGATTCTTATTATCGATATTGTTTGCAATGTGTTAAGGGTATGATAATATTGGTAGTGATGATCCTAATTATTTGCAAACTATAAGAAGGATTATTAAATATGATAATGATAATGCTGCTAACAATAATGATAAAAATCATGCTCATGATTTCCGATAATGATGACTGATGATCATGATGACTATGGATGATATGAGGAAGAGGAAAACAAATGCGGATAATAATGATAATAGCATTCATTTTACACACCCATATGTGTCCCCTCTTCTCTATAAATATATATATAATATAATATATATATATATATATATATATATAATATATAATATATATAGTATATAACTATATATATATATATATATATAATATTCATATATATAAATATATATATATATATATATATATATATATATATATATTATATGTACTTGTCTGGTACTCTATTATCACCTAGTACAACCATGTCAGGTGCAACATATCCAGCAAATACTGCGAGATAGAATTTTTAGAAACAAACAAACGATTCGAGAACACGAACCAAAAAATAAAATTTTCTTCCAAAACAAACCCACATGGAAGTACATGAAAGTCACCATCTACGCCAAAGACTGCAGCGCCATGAGGTACCGCACAAAGGATGGTATGAGGACAGCTACAGTTATGTGGACAGCTGATACGGGAACTGGAGCAGTGAGTCTTGCGTGGGTCGCAGTGCCAAAGTGTGTTCATGATGCAAGGATTTTTTTTTTTTTTTTTTTTTTTATGAAAAGGATATTACAAGAGGGTTGCTTTGTGCTTTTCGTCTGTTCGCTGAATAGAGGTGCCTGGCTATGAATCCTTCGGTACATGCATTTTTTTTTGATAATTTAACAGCAAAACAATTATACGCCATATACATATATATATATATATATATATATTATTATATATATATATACATATACTATTATATATGTATTATATATATATTTATATATATATGTTAGTTAATTATATATATATAATATATATATAATTATTATGTTATATGAGTGTAATGTATTGTAGTACCCGTTATATTATATATATTATACAAATAAATTCCATATACTAATCATCATGATATAATTATACATTTTAGATATATTAAGTAGTGAGCGATTCAATAGCACAGTATCTATAGCTACTATATACTAAATTGTATATACTATATTATATTAAATATTTATATATTGTGTTGCTGTGTGTGGATGCGTGTTTATATCTTGTTGTGTGTGTGTGTTGGTTTGTTGTGCTGCTGTGTCGCCCCTCAGCTTTTTGTGATGCCTGCGTGTGTGAGGTTGTGTAGCTTAGTGTAATAGTACCATATCTGGTAATACACGTGAGACATACCATATGATATTATATGGAAGGCTACCTCATACAATACTGTATACCTAACGCTCAGTCAGCTAACGCTAATATAGTATATACTTACACGGTTACTTATAACTATTATATATTTAGTTATACCCTTACATTGTTTTTATATTCATATACTATATATTATATATACGTATTATATATTGATATAATGATAAGCACCCTATATATATACATGAGACATGCACAAAAGTAATCTCACATTACAGATATACAACAAATAATCCATATGCATCATACAGACGAGAGAGCGAAAAGGAAGAGTTGAGGGATGCGTAGGGTGGGGGCTGTATTCACGGCTTCACTCTGCTCGTAGCCCCACCTGCCTGTATGACCAGCGTTTTATCTATCACAACAGCCACACGACACACACACACACACACACACACACACACACACACACACACACACACACCGACCACCACACACCACAGGACAGCGGAGAGGCCCTAATAAGATACAGAAGAGATCGAGTACCCAAGAGGCGCGCAACCTGAGGAAGCTGTCAGGGTGGGGGAGGGGGAGAGCCATAACGAATCAGCGTTTGTGGAAGACGTAGAGTGCAGAATGGGCGACCATCAAAATGGAGAAAACATGAGAGAGATATTGGGTGACGTAAGAGGGTGCGAGAAGGGGGAAGGCGGCGGATATATTAATTAAGTCCGAAGGAGAGGAAAAGATCGAGAGTCAAGAGTAGCGAGCGGAGAGGTGCAGAAGGAGAAGAGGAAAATAAAAAAGGAGGAAAAGAGAGAGAAGAGTAGAGCGGTGAGTGCGGGAGACCCTGGATAAGGCGATTAAAAAAAGGGAGGAAAATGAGTAAGAGAAGAGTAGCGAGCGGATGTGGAGAAGGGAGAAGGGGGATAAAAAAGGGAGGGGAAAAGAGATTAGAAGAGTAGCGAAGCGGAGGTGGAATATAGCAGATTCCACCAAGCGGATAAAAACGGGAGGAAAGAAGAGAGAAGAGGTAGGAGGAGGTGGAGAAGGAAAGGGGCAGAAAAAAGGGGAGGAAAATGGGAAGGAAGAAGGGGTAGGCGAGCGGCGAGAAGTGTCGCGGTGGAGCAAGGAGTAAGGGGGGATTAACCGATAAGTGTTTGATTGGAAGAGAGCAAAGAAGAGTAGGGAGCGTCCGAGTTGTGAGGTATGAAAGGGGGGAAGGCAGATTAAAAAGGGAGAAAAGAAGAGAGCAAGTAGGTATGGCGTTAGGTGGGAGAAGGGGGTAAGGCGAGTAAAAAAGGCGAGGAGAAAATAGATAAGGAGAGAAGCAGGCGGAGGGTGGGAAAGGGGAAGGATAAGATAAAAAAGAAGGGTAGAATAAAAGAGAGTAGAATGTGGGAAGGGTGAAGGGAGAAGCACGGTAATGAAAGGGGATAGCCGGGGCGAAGGAGAAACAGAAGAGGGTACAGAGGTAAAGAAGAGGAAGCGATAAAGAAGGAGGGGTAATATGATTGGAGAGCGTGAGGATAAGAAGGAGGTTGAATGAGGATGAGAGGAGGTATGGTGAGGAGGGGGAGATGGACAAGGAGAGGAGGTAAAGGGGTGAGGGACAGGAAGAGATGGAATAGGGGATTGATTTGGGGGCACAGGAAGAGAGGAAAGGGAGAGGTGGGGACAGGGAGAAGGAAAGGGGAGGGGACAGGAAGAGGGGAGAGGGGACAGGAAGAGAGGAAAGGGGAGAGGGACAGCGGAAGAGAGGAAGGGAATAAGGGTAGGAGGGAGAGACGAAGCGGCGAATGTTGTGTGAGTTCGTACCCAACATTCCCCAGGTAGTCAGGAGCCCGCACCGTTGCAACCTGCAACACATCACCATTAGTAGTCGGCTGAATAAACTAACTCTCACGCAATATCTAAAAAAAAAAACAGATTCTTTGTCTTCTCTTAAAGTTGATTTGTCCCTTTTCTTCTTTTTCTTCTTCTTCTCCTTCTTCTTCTTCTTCTTCTTTTCTAAAAATAAAGCGTTTAAAAGATTAGGACTCGGCTACATTCTTGGCAAGTGTCCCTGTTGCAATATTTAGCGCTGACATATTCAGGAGGTGTTTAAAGTCCCTATTTCCTGGGAACCGAAAAGCAGCGGCCGATCTAAAAGGCAAGGCCATAATTTAAGTGTCCCCCCTTTCGCCGCTCCGGTTTAGAGTCCATAGAAAATGGGGTGAAAATTCTATATATATTTCTTTCTTCTTTCCCCTTTTCTTATCCATCGACTACTTCATTATTTTCATATATGTTAAATAAGTAATCTAACGCCAATCAAGACATACGATGGTAAACGTAAATGAAATAATTGAGAGCAGAAATATATAAAAAAAATATATATTTCGCTCATCCGACTCTGGAGTTATTTCCACCGATCAAAAAGACAATAACAAATTACCTAACACGTGATCAGTCTTTTGTCATTGCGAAAGGAGTTTACGGAGATTCTGGCAGACGACGCAAGTCACATGTAACAACCTGGTCACTTGCCAAGGAGTAATAAAAAAAAAAAAAAAAATATGTGCCATGACAAACTTATCACGCTGGGAATGAGTGAACTTGTCTCGGTTTTATTGTTATTTTTTCTATATCTAAGGATTCTTTGTGTGGGGCATATAATTTCTTTCTTTAGAGATTTCTTTCTTTTGTTTTAGTCTTTCTCTATCTCTTTTCTCTTCTGTCTGTCTGTGTCCTGTCTCTCTCTTTCTCTCTTCTCTCTCTCTCTCTCTCTCTCTACTCTCTCTCTCTCTCTCTCTCTCTCTCTCTCTCTCTCTCTCTCTCTCTCTTCTCTCTCTCTCTCTCTCTCTCCAATCTCTTAATCTTTCTCTCTCTTTTATATTCTTTCTCTTATTCTCTCTCTCTTTCTCTGCCCGTCTATCTATTAATCTTCATTCATATTATCTCTCTCTCTCTCTCTTTCTTCTCTCTCTCCTCTCTCTCTCTCTCTCTCTCTCTCTCTCTCTCTCTCTCTCTCTCTCTCTCTCTCTCTCTCTCTCTCTCTCTCTTCTCACCACACACACACACACACACACACACACACACACACACACACACACCACACACACACACACACACACACACACACACACACACACACACACACACACACACACACCTCACCCACCTACACACACAAACACCATATACTTCTCGCTTATACCGAGTGAGAAACTTCGATCTTGGAATGCTTATGGCCAGAGAAACATCACGGAGATATTTCTGTTTTAAATGGATCCAAAAATCAACACAACCCATCCAGAGACAAAACGCCTGGCTTTTGAAGACCTCATTGTTGACCGTGCAATGACATTTTACCGAGTATCATAATCACAAAAAACTCCTTGCAACGTGTGTATGTTTTCAAACTCGTCTCCCTTTCGTCCTAAATGCAGTTAAATCAATAACATTAAAAAGAAAAGAAAAGAAAAAAACAGGTATTTCGATTTTTTTCTTCTTTCTTGTCGCCAAAGCTCTTTTCAATACCAAATGAATGACATATGTAACGACAAGTTTTACAATATACACACGTACAGATCATACACATACAAACACGGACATAATTCTCTGTAAAATGTCTATTTGCATGATTGAATAAGCATAGCATATATTTTTTCCAATCCCATCTTTTCTTTTAATCCTTTCGTTTCCAATAAACCGTCTCTTTTTCTCTATCATTATCAACAAACACATCAAATAGCAAAACACTTACTTGACTTCAAGTCAAAATCGAATCGCAAAGTTGGGTCGAGAAGTAAAACCACGAAAGGGCTTCTTCCTCCTCTAACAAAGTCTGAAATAAAAATGAAGAGGCATCTATGGCGGCCAGACCTTCCGCCGCGCCCGGTGCCCATGCCAGGAGAGGCTGTGACGTCACGCAGGTGGTGGGAAGAACGGGTAAACTTTCATAAGTGGGTAAAATAACTGAGTAAAGGGGTATTTGTGGGTTTGAAGAACGGGTGAACTTTCATAAAGTAACTGAGTAAAGGGTATTTGTGGGTTTGAAGATCGGGTGAACTTTCATAAACTGAGTAAAGGGGTATTTGTGGGTTTGGGGTTCGGGTATTCCGAGAAATCTTGCTTCCTCAACCGTCTTCCGCTTTGAATATCTCCTGAATATAGTATTGAATATTATCATTACTATCATCATCATTATCATTATTATTGTTGTTACCATTATCATTATTATGATTATTTTGATTGTTATTATTAGTAGTAGTGGTAGTAGCAGTAGCATCATCATTAAAATCGTCATCTTTACCATCATTATTTTTATTATTATCATCATTTTCACTTCATTATCATACTTATTCCATATTTAACTTTATATGAAAAGATATGTATTCAAAATCTAATATCTCGAAGGATGCATCGTGTGATTTCCTTAGTGGACTTCAAGTTATGCGTGTGTGTGTGTGTGCTTTTGTTTGTTCGTTTGTGTGTGCGTGCGAGTGTTTGTGTGTGTCAGTCTGTCTGTTTCTCTATCTGCGTCTGTGTGTGTATGTTTCTCTATCTATGTCTGTGTGAGTCTGTTTCTCTATCTATTTCTGTGTGTGTCTGTTTCTCTATCTGCGTCTGTGTGTGTCTGTTTCTGTATCTATGTCTGTGTGTCTGTTTCTCTATCTATGTCTGTGTGTGTCTGTTTCTCTATCTGCGTCTGTGTGTGTCTGTCTATGTCTGTGTGTGTCTGTTCTCTATCTATGTCTGTGTGTGTCTGTTTCTCTATCTATGTCTGTTGTGTTGTCTGTCTTTAATCTATGTCTGTGTGTGTCTGTTTTCTATGTCTGTGTGTGTCTGTCTTTCTATCTATAGTGTCTGTTTCTCTATCTATATCTGTGTGTGTCTGTTTCTTTATCTATGTCTGTTTGTGTCTGTTTCTCTATCTATGTCTGTGTGTCTGTTTCTCTATCTATGTCTGTGTGTGTCTGTTTCTTTATCTATGTCTGTCTGTTCTCTATGTCTGTGTGTGTCTGTTTCTCGTATCTATGTCTGTGTGTCTGTGTTGTGTCTGTCTGTTTCTTTATCTATGGTTTGTGTCTGTTCTTCTCTATGTTTGTGTCTGTTTCTCTATGTATGTCTGTGTGTCTGTTTCTCTATCTCTATGTCGTGTGTCTGTTTTCTCTATCGTCTTGTGTATCTGTCTCTGTATCTGCGTTTGCATCTGTGTGTCTGTGTCTTTCTTTGATGGTTTGTTTGCTTACCGGTATATACATTCATCTAAAAATATACATATTGCTAATTTCCTATCATCTACATGTATACCCATTCGTTTATTCATTTAAATATTACATAATCATTTCTCCGCAGGAATTTATCCAACTCTTCTCTCCTAATGACACAAAAAAAACAAAGAAGTCACCTGTTGGCACCAAACAAGCGTACCTGGCGAGTGCCAACCAGTGCCAGAGGTAAATGCACGTGTTGTCCTGCTCAATGACACGTGCTGACAGGATATGCTGACACGGGGAAAGGTTCGGTGCGATGACGAAATTAAATTTTTGTTATTAGTATTATCATTATCATTGTTATTGTTATTATTTTTGTCATTATAAAGTTATTATTATTATTATTATTATTATTATTATTATATCATTATCATCATTTATTTACTAATTATTATTATTATTATTATTGTCATTGTTATTATCATTATCATCATTATCATTATCATTATCATCATTATTAGCATTATTGTTGCTGTTGTTGTTGTTGTTGTTGTTATCATTATTGTTGTTATTATTATTATTATTATTATTATTATTACCGATTATTATTATCATCTATCATCATCTTCATTATTAGCATTAATTATTTGTTTGTTATCATTATCATTATTGTCATTATCATTATTATCATTATCATTATTAGCATTAGTAGTAGCAGTGGTAGTAGCAGTATCACCATCATTAAAATCATCATTTTCACCATTATCCATAATTATTATTATTCATTATTATTATTTATTATCATATTATTATCAATTGATTACCGCTCATCAGTATCAATTATTGTTATAACCATTTATTGGCATTAATTATTATCATCTCACTATCATTATCATTATATTACAATACTTATCCTTATTCAAACACACACACGCACATCTAAATAATATGCGCGCTTGTATGTGTGCACGCCGCGCAGCGCGCGCGCTACACACATCACACACTACCACCTCACACGACACACACACACACACACACCACACACACACAACACACACACACACAACACAGAATCCACACACCACACACACAACCACAAACATCACATCACACACACACACACAGCACACACACACCCAACACACACACACACACACACACACACACACCACACACACACACATTCACAAGCCACACACACACACACACCCACCACCGAATTAATTCAGTTCATCCTTAAAAGAATCTACCGTTTTCTATCAAATATGAGTTCTAAGTGGCCTAACTAAAATCCCCCGTATTTCGATGAGGCTGTCACGAGAAAGTTTTGCAAACATTATGAGAAAAAAAAATAGACATTACTTATATCAACAGAAACATGGGTGGGTGCTGGTGCAATTAATATTGGAGGAAAAAGTGAATTAGCATCACTAAGATTTACTTACACTACAAGGCAGTCTGCAAAGTCGTTAAAAACTCTTAGTGTTGTAACATCTAGAAGGAAAATACAAATCTGAGAGTTATTGTATACCGGCCATATTTTTTTAACGTCTCTGGGAATATATTTTCAAATTATCAAAGCATTTTTTTTTTCTTTTTACATTAGTGTACCCTGAAGATTGGGGTTACACTCTAATTCCCTTACTATTATTAAATGGGATACTCTGTTATTTCCGATAATAATGTCAAGACTCCATTGAATAGATTTTAGAACTATTTTTCCTTCATTTCTAACGTGAACCACATTATTTCAGGCATGCTAGATCCTCAAGATCCTCAAGATGGTAGTGCATTGAACGGCTAATGCTTAAAACAAATAAATATACTAGACATCAAAGGTCATATAGGACCATGGTAAAGTATTGGGACAAAAGGATAAAAATGTGTTAACAATTAGGATAAAATGTATTAGCATGGTAGTGAAAAGGGTAAAGAGGGAAGAGCAAATGGAGATTTGTAATATGGGGAAGGGATTAAGGCAAGGGCATAGGGTCAAATGGGGAGTATCTGTGTCCGAGGCAGGGCAAAAGGACCATTATGAAACAGTCAACGGGTAGAAATGGTGGTTGAAGAAATTGAAGAATCAACGGTACGATATAAAAGGAAAAAAGGTGTGAAGTATCAGGAAGCATGTCAGAAGGAGAGGGATCAGGAGGACAATGTTGCGACATAAGGGAGCCAAGTGAGCATCCAGGTGGGAGCGGTAAGGATAAGAGGGAAAGAAGAGGGAATGGTGCACATGGAAAAGGAGAGGATGAGGTGAGTGGGAGAGAGGTGAGAGGAAGAGAGGGTAAGGGGAACTTGAAGAGGAGGCTGGATATTGGAAATACTTTAATGTAGAGGAGGGGTAGCCAAACCTTTTTGTGACTATGTGATCTACTTCTTCTTATAGTTACCCCTGATGTGATCTACCAGCCTAAGATTCAGATTTCATAAATAAATAATTGTATGCTGGTCAGACATGTCTAACATTATAAACATAAATATAACTTATTCCCAGAAAAAAAGAAATATAATAATCCAAGTATCATGAGGATTTATATATGGTATTGCAGCTATTTGCATGACAACTTCTGAAGGACAATTAACAGATACAATAGCTTGATCGACTTAAAACAGGCTGGTTGGCTACCCCTAATGTAGGGTATAGGAACAGAGGGATTGCAGGGTGGATGAGAGAGTGGAGTCTTCTTGTTTAGGAAATTTTAGAGGTCTTCAGTTCTGGGGGTTGGCGTAGTAAGTCTGAAAAAAACAAAGGTCTTCTTGCAGAAGAGGGAATAGACGATGTGGTAGATGATGAGGTGGATGAATATATTATGGCTAGTGCGATGGGAGGAGAAGGAGCAGGAGGATGTGATAGAGGATGGAGTATCTGGATCTATATAAAATGGAATTTGACTGGGGGAAAGAGGGAGTAGGATGGTTCAGGGTAGAAGGAAGAGATATTGGGGGATATACTGATACATCTTGAGATGGGAGGGGAGCAGAGTGAAGGACAGTTTTGAAATAGGTAGAGAAATAAACATTGAGACCCTTTTTGAATCTGACAAACTGTAGCTTCAGTCTCCGTCTCTTAAATGACAACCATCGAGCAAGGGATAGAGGTATTGCAATGAAGATGGCCATGGAAAGTTTAGTGTGTGTGCATTTTTCTATAAAGCTACAATATTCTAATCAGGGGTCTAAACAATAAAAGAATAAACATCTTATCAAAGGATAAAAAAAAAAAACATTTTTCCATATTTAAAATGTATTATTACACAATCTCGGTATATACATAATATATATACTGTAAAATAAATACCTACTCTAACACGAACACATTCACACAAAAAATATAGTACACAGATACTGCATTAAATCTCCACTGGTTACACTTAGTCTGTATGTTAAAATATTCCTAGAATGGTTATGGTCGATGATGTTAATTCTGACAATTCATCTGGTTCTTCTAAACGTTCAGCTACTTCTGGGACAATAATGGAAGTGGTTATTTACAAGTTATAGTATTTACACAGCTCTTTTTGAGATTCAAATGCACATAGAGTAAGGAATGGGTTGGACAAAACTATAGAGTCTATTATGCTATTAGTGAAAACTGGTATAAAAAAAAAAAAAGTTCAAATAATTATTCATAAGGTGAAAACTGAAAAGGAATC